TATAGAAAAGGTTTGTGGGATTCTCACTTGTGCATTTCTCAGTTACTGTAGAAAGTGAAGAATCATAAGAATTGTTAAGCAAATAATCGCTTCGTGTAGATGAAACAACAAGCACAAAGGGTAAAATAACCCTTTATTATTCAGATAAAAGTTAACAGAACTCCGTCTTGGAGTTTTACAATAAAGCCAAACACTCGGGTTTTGAACTAAATTCTGAGATAAAGAACTAAACTAAACTTAACTTAAGAGATATAGCCGAAGCTATCAACGTTTTAATGCAGTTGGCCCCTTAAACACGAGATGCGAATATATCAATACAATATATCAATAGGGCCTGAGTACGGCCGAGCGTATAAATCAGTTTTAAGCATTTCGAAAGACCAGAACAGGTGCAAAATATATTTTGCTAAAACATGCGTTTTTATAAAAGCTTACACACTCATATATAATTCATACTCTCTGTTAAATTGCCCACATACAGAATGGCCACAAAACGTTTCCCCGATATATGAAACACTAGCGATAATAGCCACTTAATCAATCAAAATGAAGTTTCAGATAATGTTATTTGAAAATATACGCTCAAGATTTTATTCTAACAAGTAAACAAAGTTCTGAAATTATTTAAACTTAATAATATAATTTGGCATGATGTAATATAGGCATATAAAGAAAAACATCTCTTAAATATACAATAGGTAAACAGAATTATTCAACTAAATCAACTTAATATTATATGGCAAGATATAATACAGTCATGTAAAGAATAATATATATTGACGGCGAAACGTCCTGACGGTGAAACGTCCCGATGGCAAAACGGCCACATCGAAACTGCCACGGCGAAACGGCCACGGTGAATAGTCCCCTTTTTAGTTTTGCAAGGCTTTTTTAAGAACATCAAGATTCTGAGATGAAGGACTAAGAGTAGCATCATGACTCCCTAAAGTATTCAAATGCGGTCTATAGAATTAAAACCCGCTGAAGTCTTTAATTAAGTTGGTCATTCCGTACGCATTATTATTTCTTGCAGAAGATACCCTTCTACTACAGAACTAAAGAGATATAGCCGAAGGTCCATACGGTGTAATGCTGTCTTCCTGAAGAAAGAGAATTCAGCTATTTGTATCTACATTAAGGCGTACATAAGATGTCGTATATATACGTTTCAGCAGTAACATTTTTACGTGGAAACACATAGAATTCTGTGTGGCCGCTTAAAGAAATCTCGCTGCAAACGCTGATACTACCCTTCCGAAAGGATTTTTTTAAGGACGTATGATAGATGATGACAAATTTCGCTTTCTGTTCATCACAGACAAAGCCCACCATCACTCTGCAAACTAAATCTAGAACGATTCGTGAAGAATACTTTCCTCAGTTACTAGACTGGCCAGCTAAAATACAGACACATTCAGTGCAGTCTCTAATTTCGACAAGGAAACATGGGAGGTACACACATGATGTCTTTTCTCACAAAAGTCTCCTTCACGAAGCCTTCTGCGGACAGCAGATTATGACATCATTGTAATGGTTACAGCAAGAAAAGTGCTGAATCGGAGTAAAGTCATGCGCCGTCTTGTACCTCAGCGCAGATGTCGGTTTCCAATTATCGTCGTAGAATCCTTACTCAGTACTTTGCTGAAACTTCTGGAGATCGAACTTTGCGCTTAGAAAGTGTTGCATTTGGAATAGAAGAGTATATATTTAGCCATTCGGCTACCTGTATCTGACTTTACTTTACCTGTAATCTCCTAATAACTTTCCGATAAATGCTTCTTCTCGGTTACAACAAGGACTTTCTATTTAAGAAAAAAATCCAGGCTATTTCAGATTTTTTATTTCACAGTTGCACCGGCAGCTAATGCCTAGCTTTAGAAACGGCTGTTTAGGTTTCAAACACTGGCACTACCACTATCTCATGCCACAAATTGATCGCATCACTAATATTTTGCATGCTGCAGCTTGGTTTCAGCATAAAGTCCCGGGGTGGCTCTCTTGTTGACCCTGGGAGCTGTTGCTCTGGATTAGAGTGGGCCGTGGGACACTGACTCTGATCTAATCACTTCTGGTGTCAACTGTTAAGAGTTCTAACCAATTCATTCATAATATGTCAAAAGGCCGTTTACGATAGGTTTTTTTTTTAATTTAAGGTGTATTAGCACCCACCCAAAGACGAAGATGTATAACTTGAGTAACAGGCAATCATATTTGGGTGGAAAGTCAAGGTAGGCAGAGTCGCAAACAAAGTCAGCTGGCCGTGGGACATACACCTGCTTACTTATGTTAGACATCAGATGTCCCCGCCCTCCTCCGGCTAGACTTGTGTCTAGACAGCTTCGGTCTGCAGAGCAAATAATCAGACTTCACATAGATTAGAATCATCGTATATTCGATGGTAATAGGTTTAGGCTTAACAGGGACCGTACTGGTACTGTCTTGTCTGGAACCTTGGCCGAGGGGACAAAAGGTTCCAGACATGACTGGATAGCGAAGACCGTCTGAGAGGGACTGGCTTTTCTCGGTCGGTGTAGAGGGACGTATGATCTCGTGCTTTAATATATATGTCCTTGTTCGTAGTACCGCGAGAGGGAGTGGTGACCCCGCTCGTGGGAATTAATCTTTGAGTAGTGGGAGTTGAGATCGGCCCTGTGGATCTCTTCGTGATGGTCGCCCGTCGGTCTCTTCTCCGATGAATTAAATCTTAGAGGGAAGTTTCTCCCTCTGCAGCGACCGGGAGGGATTGGCCCTGGAGTTTCAGTTCTAAAAACCTTGAAAGGGAGGTCCGAACCTCCTAAGACAGGGGCTGAGCTCTGGTGTTTAAGTCACCAGCTTGTTTTCAGCGCCTTTATCTTAGGAAATATAAAAATTTCGTATCTATTAGATTATGCTTCTCTGAATTATCTTTTATTTCGGGATTCTTCCATAATGCTTTGTTTGGTTTATGTGATTAAGGGGCGCAATGTTATGATTTTTTAAAAGTTATGAAAAACTAAGCATAATGACATGCAATGGTCCTATAGACAACATAAATGAGTTTAAAAAAATTTTTTTCGCCCCCCTTTATGGAAAGGGGACCGGTTTCGCCTTGAAACCAGCGCCCGTCTAGAGCATTTAAGACTAAACATTTGCTTATATATCTATATCTTTACTTTGCTGAAAAGTATCTGAACGTAACCTAAATGGCAGATTATACTAGTAAATTACTGAACAACTAATGAAGTAAGTAATATTTGCATAAACATGCATTTTTAATTATAAATAAAAAATTTAAAACAGGAAACAAAAAAGTATGAGACAAAAGTAACTAATAATGCACTAAATTACTTGCATAAAACTATGAAATATTTTTAAAAATTATGTTTAAAACTAAGAAAATTATATGTAAAAATAAATAAATTAAGATGCATACAATTATTTTACTATGAACTAGAAGCATGAGAAAAGCGACCTCTAAGAGAAGCATAATAAAAACGCAACTGTGAGTGTTTTTCAGTGTGCTCTGTGTCTCTGTAAAAAATAAGAAATGTTTTCCCTCTCTCAAAAGCTCCATAAATCCTCATCTTTGAAGCCACTCAAATGAAGCTATTGTGCAACTGTTTACAGCAGTGATCCGAAAGCAATAAACACAACTGCAAAAAATCTCGCGACTGCGTCATCTGATCGTTTCTTCGATGTCCCAGAGGGGCGGTGGTTTCATACTGAAACCGCAAAGAAAACATTCAAAATTAAAAGGGTTCCATTACTTTTTTTTTTTTTTTTTTTTTTGTGAACTAAGGACATTTCATTACTCATTGATGCCTGCTTATAAAATATATTGTGGAAAAATTAAAAATTTTTAGGTTTTTTGTTTTTAAAATGGGTCAAAAAAGTAGTGTGCAAAAGAAGCTATTTTTGAATGATTCGTATCAATGAATGGATGCCTGGAAAGGTTTGCTGCTGCCATCTGTTATCAGCTTTAAGAAGTAATTTAATTTTAGCAGCGGTTTTGAGCAAAAAAACCGAATTTTTAAAATTAAAAAAATGTTGAAAATGCGGTTTCAAGGCGAAACCATCGCCCCTGAAAGGGTTAAGGCAAAGCCTCGACGGCTATTTCCCTATAAGAGGAGGGAGATAGCCCTCAAGGACTTTCTAAGGGAAACTGGTTCGTATACACAATACACATGGGAAAAACCACCAAAACGCCCATAACCAACGTATCAGTTATAAAAATAATTAGAAATATGCGAAATCTTCCTTGTATTAAAAAAATAAATTGACTGCCATAAAATACACTTTTGGCTCAAAAATATGCATTTACTATCACCATTGAGCTATCGATCTCCATTTTACGAAAGTATAATTTACGGCAATTCAGATTTATCCTGCTTTAGAAATCAGTCCAATATTCGTATTAAAACAATTAAAGAACAACAAAATAAAAAAAGATGAGAATGTTAAAGTCATAAAAATTAATTAAAGATTTCAAGGTTTTATTCCTTTTTTTTTTTTTTTTTAAGATTTTATTCGTTCTATAAATGGAAGCACTATCTGGTAGGGAAAAAAACCTAGGAATGAAATACTGAAAAAAGTATTTTTAATTAACAATTTGCTGAAAAAATTAGTAACATTAATGCTAGACGATCCATTTGAATCTGCCTTGTCACTAATTAATCATTACTTAAAAGAAAAATTAACAGACTTGATAAAGTGGAATTATTTCGCTAAAATTAATTATTTGCTAGTGAAACGGACATACGCTGCAACTAATTTCATGTATTTGAAAGAAAGCAAAATGCGATTCCTCTTCTGAACAGCATGATGCTAAATTTAAGTTGCTTTACAAAACATCTTCCCTCCAGAAAGAAAGAGAAATCATAAATTCAATTTAGGTTATACCATCAGAGACCAAATGCATTTTGTTGTCTTGTACATTTCCTCCGACGCGATGAAACTATACGTGACCGAAAAAGAAAAATATGAAAAGATACTTGTATGCTAGTAAGAAAAAAAAACATTACCTCTCTCTTCTTCCGTTTCGCCTGGATATTCTTTTGGAGGTGTCTGTACAGGTTCAACTATAACTTTCGTTGGCTTTTCTGTATCTAAAGTAATTCTGCAAGAAAAGAAAACAAATATATATGAAATTCCAGAAAAGTTATCTATACAAGATAAAAATAGACATGGTACTTTTCCTAAGAGTAGAATATTTAATAAAAATCTATTACATTTATTAAAATTATAAAGAGTCGTGGCCCTAATTATATCAACAGAAATAGCTCGTCAAGCTGAAGGGTTATATTTAGTTTCAAGCTAGTTATATATTAACCATTCTATATGATTTTCAGCTTTCCATTTACTCACCAGAATGCAAATCAGTTCGAGAATATTAAAATCGAGGGTTTTGGATAAAGATAGAGCATGTTTCTGCCTCTCGAGACCATGTTTCTAGGCTTCGTTAGCTCTAATAAGCTTGCAATTCTTCGGCGTTGCGTTATTCCTACGACACTTAATTGCTAAGCTAGTAATTGCTAAGCTTTCTTTTAAGTTCTGAGCCAACTCAGCATTTGAAATCAGTTGTGTAACCTTTGACTACTAGGCTTAGTTTTAAAGTCGAATTTGAAAGTTATTTTAACCAGTTAACTGTGATTGACGAGTATACTCGCCATGGAGAAGCGCCACGATTTTGTGTTTGACGAGTATACTCGTCATGCGTATAATAAAATGGAAAGATAAGAAGGAGGTTTATTTAGTAAGTACTGTACATAATGACAACGTAATAGAAACAGAGAAAAGAAAAATAATAACAAAGAAGCCGGAGCTAGTGATTGATTGTAATTAAAAAAAATGGGTGGCGTGGATATGAGCGATGGAATTATCATAGCGTATACCACAGCAAGAAAACGAGTCAAAAAGTGCTACCAAAAAGATATTTCTCCATTTCTTAGACATTATGTGTCTGAATGCATTCATATTATATAAAGAAAATAATGGAACATTATCGCGTATCAACTTTTTGCTCAAATTTATTGAAGACACTTTTGCGACGTATCCAATTGAAAGAAATAAATCGACATAAACTCGGTCATTTAGACTTAATATAAGCCAATTAGGCGGGAATCACGTTCCTTATATACCCGGAACATTGAAAACAGAAAAAAAAAAAAAAAAAAAACCTACGCGAAGGTGTTCGCATTGCTACAAACGTAAGATCAGGAAGGAATCGCGTTACTGATGTTCGATTTGCAAAGTCCCATTGTGTATAGTACCCTGTTTTGCTGAATATCACTCCACAGCAGGAATTTAAATTCTTACTTTTATATGTATAACATTTCATTTATTTGATTGCGTTTTAGTTTAATATGTATGTAATATATGCTTATGTTAACCAAATAAGTAAATATTAGTAATAAAATTTTCAATTTTATAAAATAAACTCATCTTTTTCATCCAATATCTTACCAGCGCAACTTACTCTGTGATTGACGAATATGCTCTTCATGGATCGATTCTGGCGACACAAAACGTTGCGCACTCTTAAACGAGGGCGACACAGTTAACTGGTTAAGTTTTATCGCCACGAGTATGTTAGCTACAGTTGATATTTATATAAATGTTAGGTAATTCTATGCTATGTTAAATGCTGCTGTTGATATTTATAAGAATGTTAGGCAGCTCTATAAAGCTACGTTAAATGCTACAATTGATATTTATAAAAAATTTACGCCGCTCTATAAAGTTATGTTAAATGCTACTTTTGATACTTACAAAATTGTTAGGCAACTCTATGAAGCTATGTTAAATGCTACAGTTAATATTTATAAAAGTGTTATGCAGTTCTATAAGGCTATATTAAATGCTACAGTTGATATTTATAAAACCATTTTAACGAATTGGCGCAGTCGTTACCCATTACAATAAAATACTAAAAAAGGTATTAAAGGTATAATCGTGAAAATATTGCTTACTTGAAATCGATAGATTACAGCTAACAGAATTAATATGGTGTTGAGTACAAAAGTATGAGTGTTTCGTATTCCTTTTGCATTTGAAAATCACAATAAAATAAATGTTAAATGTTATAAAATATAATAAAATCATCCTGAGAACATGAACTAGAAAAAGAATTGAAATTGACAGATTATGGTTTACATCCTAGATCAAGACATTAAAATTGATTCTTATTCCCCCCCAGTTGATCAATATGTTTTTTCTCAAAGTAACTGCAGAACGTCAAAACGATCATAGCGTAACTATGAAGAAAACTTTTATTTCCAGGTGCTCATGTTCGGGTGGAGGACTATGTTATTCAAAATTTGATGCCTTTAGGTGCCATTGGTTTTTTCACAATGCGAGAAAAATACATACATTCATGAAGATTCTTCATTATTTAGTTTCTTTGAATATAATACAGAGCGATAATATTTGGTGGCAACAATTTGAAAAGTGATTCAGGCATTTGTAGTGACTCAGTGCTAAATGCCGCTTCGAAACTTCGAACCCTTCGGGGCTAACGTCCCTTTTGGGCTAAAAAGCAAGCAAGTAATTTTAAAATAACTTACTAAAAGCAGGTTTATTTTTTATTTGTTACTAAAAGTATAAAAAAAGTTAAAAGGAAAGGTTAAATCTGATTATTTATAGCCTTCTTAACACACGATATAGCATAAATATCCAGGAAAAAATCGAAACAGTTTTTTTTTACAATTAAAGATATTTATTATTTATACGGTATATGTGGGCTAAAAGAGGACAGGAAAACTTCTAAATTATAAGAATAAAATTTTGTTAAAATACAAACAACAAGAAATAATTTATATTAATTTCCCATTCTCGTTTCATACAAAAATATTATTCACTATTGTTATTTAATGTAACTAATTATTTAACTTATAAGGTATTTCTCCCACCTTCCTAGCGTGGTCAGCACACTGAGCCGGTATTTCAGAGGTCCGTGGTTCCATTCCCGGCGAAGGCATTGCTAATTTTTCATCTTGCCTGCTTCAAAAGAATATCTAATGTTTCTACAAACTTTTAAATAAAAATGTAATAATTTTAAATAAAAATAAATACATTACAATATAGATGTTAGGTTTAATCCCAGTATACGGTACACATAGGATTTGGCGACTTTTAGCGACATTATGATAAGCAGTAAGCGATTGGTTTTGGTGTTGGTGACAATATCCAAAATAGCACCAAGGCCGTATCGTATACTGAGATTTTATCTAGATGTTATCGCAGAATTTTATACATTTATATGATTTGTATAGAAAATCCATCAAGCAAAGGATACAAAGAAGACATCCTCTAATAATCTCACTAATGGTATAAATGCTAATAAAACTTGTTGCCAAAAAAGCATCACAATATTACCAAAATATACATAAAGTTTTTATGTAGCTCAAAATAATATAATGCTTTAATTGTGAAGATAAATAAAATATCTTATGTTGCGTTGAATGGCAATAGGTTTCTAGTTTGACGAAGATTGAACTTCTTTTAAAATTAAGATAACTCTTTTATCAACTGTTAATAGTGCCACTACAACAGAAAAGAAATATATTGCTTAAAGTAGGGTACTTAAATCAAAGTTTTCGAAAATATATTCATCATATTATTTGAAAATTTAATGTAACAAGTTTTAAATTATCTAATCGCGAAAATTTGTGAAAAATTTATAATACAAATTTTATAATTATAATTGCTTATACATACAGTGAAGATAAATCACATATGAAATATTCAAGCATAAGATCAAATTAAAAATTAAAAATAAATATAACGAATGAATAAACGATGCCAGTATCATAAAAGACTTAATTGTATTTTACCTAGAAAGAAACTTGTGGAACATGTTTAACATAAAGTTTATTCGAATTTCCATTCCTTTTAGGTTAAGAGGTAAAAATGAATTTCTAAAAAATAAGGAAATGAGATCATTCTTTGTAAAACCGAGCAGACAATAATAACCGCTTTAAATTTTTTTCAAAAAAATTGAAAACTTTCAGATTTTATATTAGGCCTAAAGAGACTTTTTTTCATATACACATGCATACACGTTTCAAGAGAATATTTAAAAACAGCATATCTTTAGAATTTCCGATAGACAAGCTTGAGCGCTGGAGATAAAATTATTTTATTCCGTTCAGTGTGTTGCCACTGCTCGCTTCGAAATAGTTGAGTTTCTTAATCAAAAATTCGTTTAAAATATATGAAATAGATAATAAAACAAATTCGAAATTCAAGCTTCAGGGTTCCAGGTGCCCATATTCTGGTGGAGGACAACATTTTTCAAAATGAGATGGATCTAGATATCGTTGTTTTGTCACAAAGCAATAGACATATACATTTAAGCGGATACTTCATTATTCGTTTATATATAATACATGGCGTTAATATTTGGTGGCAACAATTTGAAAAGTGATATATCCGTTTAATAGCGATTCGACGCAAAATGCCATTTCGAGACTAATTGCCCTTCTGTTCTAATAAACTTCGCTTTTTTTACTAGTTAACTAGTATTTTCAATACAAATCAATTCAAATTTGTTAAGGGTAAGCGTTAGAAATATCCACCATAGAAAATAAATAAAGATAAACGCTACTGTCGATAAGTCCTGACAATATTTTAGCTTATCATAATACAGAGAAAGTTGCAGAGTTCTTTAAAATAGAATTTATCGAAAGCTTCATTGTTTCTTGACGTAGCATTAAATTTCATCTTTAAGCACTTTCGCTTTAAGTATTTATCTTTGCATCAAAATAAATCGCATTTTCAATGGCAGGTAATCTAATTTATTGATTCTGAATCTTCCATTTCCTTGGATGGGAAATTCACCAGCAGCAGACTTCTGATTCACGGTTTTAAAATACTCTCTTTTATCTCTATATTTAAGATTGTGTTTCAGAAAATGCATTGTAATTTCTTCTGACATTTTTATTCCCCTTTCCCTGAAATGGAATATTATTTTCAAAGCATAAAAGATTTCCTACAACATCAAGAATGTTTTTCAAGCAGTCGTATCGCTGCGTTTTTGTATATATATATATAATAATAGCACTTTGCGATTTTATTCGAATATGTATAATAGCTGGTGTGTGTGTGTGTGTGATTATG